CCCGGTCCCTGCACAAGAAAACGGAGGTGAAGAATTGGTTAAAGAGGTCCGCTTTCTCCTCTGACGCAACCACCAAATTGCCCAGCGTGTCCTGCAGGGGTCCCACATTACCCGGCACCTTCTTCATCCTCCCAATGTATTTGAAAAAGGACTTTTTGTTATCCTTAATCTTGGACGCTAGAGAACTAGCAGAGGCTGCATGCTCTCGGTGCATAGTTGTCATGAGCAACTTCAAACACCCTGACATCTTGTGGGAAAAGCATTCAGCCAAATTTGATTGATTGCAAAGCTTCCTCAGTTGCATTGACAAGCTCTATTTGAGACTCAAGAAGTCTATGGGCCGACAAGAGGTAAGATGCTGCTGGATCTGGTACTGGCCAAAGGGGATGATCTAATCAGCAACCTGAGGATCGAAGGGAAGCTTGGTAATAGTGATCATGAGTTGATCACTTTTTCTATGCACTTCAAAGAGGGCAAATCAGTCAGCAATGCAGAAATCCTCAACTTCAGGAAAGCTGACTTCCACAAGCTCAGGAGGTTGGTTGTTGAGGCCCTGAGAGACCATGATCTGACAGGGAGCAGAGTCCATGATGAGTGGTTGCTCCTTAAGGATGTGACCCTAAAAGCACAAGGGAAGCCCATTCTGGCCCATAGGAAAGGTAGTAAAAGGGCTGGGAGACCCCTTGTCTCAACAGGGAACTCATGGCCCTCCTGAATCTGAAAATAGAAGCTTATAAGGGATGGAAGTTGGAAACTACCACTAAGAAGGATTATGCAGCACTGGCCTGCACCTGTAGCAAGCGGACCAGAAAAGCCAAGGCTGAAACCAAACCCAAACTGGCCACAGAAATCAAGAACAATAAAAAAGTCCTTCTTCAGATACATGGGAAGTCAGAAAAAAAAAAGGGGGGGGGGCAACATCAGACCCTTGCTGAACCAAATCAGACAGGTGACAACCTAGGAAAAAGCCAGTCTCCTTAAAGATTACTTTGCATTGGTTTTCCACCAGCCCCAGGGGATCACCCTACCTGACAGGACACAGGACTACCAGGGTAAGGGCAATCATACACCTACAATTGGCAAAGATCTTGTGAGGGAACACCTTGAGAGGCTGGACAGCCACAGGTCAGCTGACCTGGATGGAAAGCACCCAAGAGTGCTAAAAAGAGTTGGCTGACATCACAGCACAACCGCTGACAAGGATATGTGAGAAGTCATGGCACTCAGGAAAGGTTCCTGAAGATTGGAAGAGGGCCAATGTGGTGCCTATTCAAAGAAATCACCAACAACAGTCTAGCGGAGGATTACATTCTGAGAAAGAGCCAACATGGCTTCATTGCGGGTAGGTCTTGCCTGACCAACCTCATTTCCTTCTACGACCAGGAGATGCATCACCCGGACAAAGGAGAAGAGGTTGATGTCATATATTAAGATTTCAAAAAAGCCTTTGTCTTCATCTCCCATGATGTCCTCATGGTAAAAATGGGGAACTGCGGCCTCAACAACCTTACGATCCAATGGCTAGGGAACTGACTCCGTGGTCAGACCTAGCAAGTGATAGTTGGTGAACCGAGTCAACATCACGTATGGTAACCAGTGGCAACCCTAGGGTTCAGTACTCGGACCGGTACTCTTTAATTTATTCATAAGTGATCTGAAGTTGGGTGTCAGAAGCGGACTAGCTAATTTCACAGACTACACCAAATTATGGGGAAGTGCAGTCAAGCTAGAGAAGTGGTTCCCAACCCTGGGTTGCAACCCAAATGAGGGTCACAGGGGCAATGCTGCCAGCACCACACACAAAACATGCATCAGAAACTAGGAGAACATCTGTTCACCAGGCCACCCCAAGGGAAGATAAGGTCTAACAGTCACAAACTGCAGGAAGACCATTTTAGACTGGACATAAGGAAAAAGTTCTTTACCATCCAAGTCTCCAGAGTCAGGAACAGACTCCCCCCAGAGGTGGTGCAAGCATCTAACTCTGGATTCCTTTAAGAAATGCTTGGATGCTCATATTGCTGAGGTGATCTGGCCCCAGCTGACTTCCTGCCCCTTGGGCGGGGGGCTGGACCCAATGATCTTGCTAGGTCCCTTCCAGCTGTAATGTCTATGAAATCTATGAAACAGCAGTAGATGACATCAGACCTTTCTAAACTATGAAGTACCATGCTTCAGTTTAAATTATAGTGTGCAAATTGTGAAGTGGATGCAGGGTTTATTTGTGAATAGCAGAACTGAGGCTCTTCACTTTACCCATATAATCTTAGGCTAAAGCAAAAAGAGGTAGAAATCCTGCCTTCTATGATACCATATAATCCTGATATGCAATGGATTGTTCAAAGGCAAAGTTGTGTATGCTTCACAATCAAAAAGTTTTCATCCTCGGACATGACAGTTGTTACATATCCTGATGTCTGTAAAGCATCTATAAGAACAGAACTACAGAAAGATTTTTTCACTGAATCAACTCACCCATTATTATTAAACACAGAAAGACTCTACCTATTTTGAGTTTGAGACAGAATATCAAGAAGCAGATGTGTGCTTCTGAGGATATGACCATTTTCAAAAGATGTACTCTAAATGCATGTCCTCTTTAGTGTCTGATCTGGAGCCCACTTCCAGCATGGTAAGAAAGGATAAAATGGAATGATGCCAAATGTGCCAACATAAAACCTTTAAATTCACTGTAATTGTCTGCTGTGAATGGAAAGAGGGACCAATTCCAGATTAAACAGTACTAAAGCAAAGGCTTGAAGAAATAAAGCCTACCACCTCATACACCAACGATTCTTCAAATCACAAGTCAGGACTGCAGTTTGCATAATATCTACAGGCTATGTAACCAAACAAAAATCAAAAATGGTCTTTGTAAATGGTGTTTTGAAAAACTGATAAGTTTTTGGCTTTATTCCACCACTGTTTTTTATACTTACTTACAATAACAAATTAAAACTTTTAATGCCTCTAGTTAGAAAACATTTTCAGACTGGAATACGCATTATTCAAAACCAACATTCTATATGACTTGTATTTAACATGGAGGATCCTGGTTTTGAGACTCTTACAAAATCTGCAGCTTCTCATAGATTGTAATGTTTTAATGCTGTCCATTGGCATGTGAAGAGTCTGAGATATAAAGGTATAAAGATATGTAAATGGTATTTCCGGTTGGAGTCCCCCCAGCAAATGCATTTTAAAAAAATGCATGTACAAAAATATCTGTGTATGTGCTAATAATGAAGCACAGATTATGAGAAATAAGAAAACAACAGGCTCATTGTAAAAGCATTTTTTGCTTATATTGGCAGTTGGACAAAAGGTTTCAAAGAACCTTGTGTGGTTTTGGCCAATTGTTGCAATATTTCTTTCTCTAAGGTCATTTCTGGAGGTTAAGTGAGGCTAAATCACATTAAAAATGGCCACCCAATCCAACTGAATTTGCCTTGGTGCGGACCTTGCACTTAGACCTGGTCTCGGTGACGGAAATGTGGCAGACTTACCAATTCAGCCCAGCTCGAAGGGGCTCGGAAAGTCTTCATTTTGATTGATGGATCCCATCCACCAATCAGGTAAGGGTTGGGCGGGGCCAGCCCCGCCCCTTACATGTAGGGGTGGGGGCAGAGAGCCTCCCAGACCTGACTGAGGCCTGCGTTCTGCAGGTCCAGCAAGCCTTCAGAGGTGGGGCCTCCATAGTATATAAGAGGAGCTGCATGCCCAGTATGCAGCAGATGCATCGAGGGACAGAAAAGCCAGCAGGGTTAAGAAGAGCTGGGGAGAGTTTCCCAGTGGGCGGAAGCTGTAGTCAGAAGAGCCCCAGAAGACTCTGCCAGTGGGACCAGAACGATGAGCAGTTTCAGCTACAGCCCCAGCAGATGCCTGGCGCAGTGCACAGGACAGACCCTGGGAGCTGCAGGTGACAGCTTGGGTCCCTGGACACTCAGTGCACATAGCAATACACAGAGCCACCAGACCCTGGGAGCCACATGAAGTGGCTCGAGTCTGCTATCCTCGACATGCAGCTGAGAACCTTGATGCACATGGCGGCACACAGCTCCCAGGGTCTGGTGGTTCCACACACGGCAGCTCAGGTCTGCTACCCTCGGAGTGTGGCCACAGACTTGGTGCACACAACAGTATATGGCATCCCAAACCTTGGGAGCAGTGTCAGGCCACTCTGGTTTGCAACCCCCCCCCAGCGTGAGGCCAGGCAGCTAGGAGGCACCAGCACAGTGTGGTGGAGGTCCGGTGAGGCCTGGGTTTCAGGTAACCCGAGCCCCAATGGAGGACAGAAGGTAAGGCCTGGGTGTCGGGATCCACAGGAGGCAGCCCAAGCCTCAATGGAAGGCAGAAGGCAGGGCCCTGGGTGGCCCCGACGAAGCTCCGGGAGCCCCTCCCAGTCTGCTCCCCAGACCCGTGAGTAACCGGAGAACAGTTCCCCACAGGGCAGGAAGGCCTGAGAGGGGTTCCCGAGGGATCAGAGACTGGGATCAGGGGCTAAGGAGGTACTGGGACCCTCTCCTTACTCCCCCTAGGAGCAGTGTCAGGGTTTGGCACCCTAGGGGAATGCCCAGTGGCCTCGGCCACATAAGTACCTGGAAGAGGGGACTGTGCCTCATATTTTGCAAATATTTATATATTGTTATCCTTTAATGTGAATGGGGTTATGTAATCTGTCTGAGGTTTACCTGTATTTACTTGTTGTTGTTGTTGTTTTTATCAGAACTTATCTGTTGATACCTGTTGTTTATCTGCCTTTGTTGTAGTTACCTGTTGCAGACAGCTGCCTACCTACATAGGGACCCATGCCCTCTTGAGGTGGTGGTCCCTTGGGCCTTCGATTATAGAGCATAATGGTATTTGGGTGATCTGGATATTATATATATTTACCAATACTCTTTTATAAATCTGTAAATAGTGTTACCTGTATACTAATAAACCTATAAATAGTTAAGCTGTCCTGGCCTGACTGTATAGAGGATTAGAGGGGGGCTGGCCTGCACAGCAAAAGCCTCTCACAGCACTCCTGCCTGGCCACCTATCCCCTCCAATTGAAGTGGGGGAAGCACATACTGGGGTGCACCCAGGTTGCAGAAATCAATCTAAACCAGTAACTGTACAGAAGTCCCGCACACACAGATCAGCATAACAGCCTAAGATAGACCTGGATCAATGTACACATAATCAATCTAGGTTAGATTGGTGCATCCAACTTTACTACAGCTACCTGCACAGCCCCAGGGCTGGAAAAGCCCAGCTGCTAGCCCCAGTCCCAAAAAAAGCAGGCTATGTTTTTCCTACCTGCCCCCCTGACACCAAGCTGTTTTGAAGGAGGATGCAGCTCAGCCTCTTGACAGGAGGCATCCCAAAAAGGGGGTCTGAGAGAGATGGACCAGTGACTAGGTGCAGGCTATGAGATGGAGGCTGCAATAGAGTGCCGAGGACAGAGAACAGCCCAGAAAGAACATCTAAGAGCCCCAAGAGGTGAAGAAAGACCAGGATATGTAGGCCTGCAGTTGGTCCTGGGGAATGACCTAAAACTACACCCTGCTGGGGCTGCTTGTGGTGGGGCAGTCCTCAGGAAATGCCACACCAGTGCCTCCCTAGTGAAAGGTGAGTATGGGGCGCCAGGAAGCCTCAGCCCCCACTGCCTTGTGGGTGGCCCTGTGGAAGGGAAAGGTTAGGGGAGAACACCCTGCTACCCTCAGCATGTGGCCATGGACTCGGTCCACATCCGAATGGTTGCCAAGCTTCCTCGTGTGTGGATGAGCTCTATCTGACTCAAGTCTATGAACCAATGAGAGGCAAAGCACTGCTCCACCTGGTATTGGCAATGGGAGATGACTTAATCAGTGACCTAACAACTGAAGGGAAGCTGGGAGACAGCAACCATGAGCTGATCACCTTCACCATCTGCTGTAAAGCAGGAAAGTCAGTCAGCAAAGCGGAAGTCCTTGACTTCAGGAAACCCGACTTTGACAAGTTCAGGAGGCTTGTTGGTGAGGCCCTGAGGGACCATGACCCGAAGGGAAGGGGTGTTCAGGAAGAGTGGTTGCTCCTCAAGGGATGAATCCTGAAAGCACAAGCAATGTCTATCCCGTTTCAGAGGAAAGGCAGCAAAAGGGCACAGCATCCCCCTCGGCTCTACAGGGAACTAGTGGACCTCCTGCATATAAAAAGAAAGACCTATAATGGATGGAAGACTGGATCCACCCCAAAGGAGGAGTACTCTGCAGTGGTCCAGACCTGTAGGAAGCGAACCAGGAAAGCCAAGGCTGCGACTGAACTCCAACTAGCTACACATATCAAGGACAATAAAAAGTCCTTTTTAGATACGTGGGGAGCTGGAGAAGAAGCAAGGGTAACATTGGACCCCTGCTAAACCATATGGGTCAAATGACAACTGACGCCCAGGCAAAAGTCAACCTGCTCAACAGGTATTTTGCATTTTTTTTTTTACCAGCCCCAAAGGATGGCCCTGGCCAATCTGGTATGGGACAGCCAGGGCAAGGGAGAACTATTACCCCACATCAATGTTGACCATGTGAAGGAAC